CAAAGTTAATTCCATATGTGAAATACTTGAACTTTATCGTTTGATGTCAAAAATTTAATGAAATGATAAAATTTTGTACAGATTATAAAATGATTTGTTGCACACTAAAATATTTTTACTTATTAATTAAATCATTCGCGATATGTCGAATTAAGCTGTAAAGAAGCGATTTTACTGCGATAAATCTTAAAGATAAATTTTGTAGCGATAATTTAACATTTGCTACTTGTAATAACAGTAACCGTATGTAAATACAGTAATAATGAATATATTAAGCACATATAAATACGATGATAATGAATACAGCATGATCAAATAAATACAAGAGTAATGCGGCAATATTAGTTGACAAGTAATATAGGTGTAATTAAATTTATTACACTAATACAATGCATCAAATTGCTAAGGTGCGTAATTTAGTTTTTAAATTCAGCTTTTTGAATTGGACTTTTAAATTTGATTTATAAAAAATTCAATCCCTGAAACAAGATTTAATCACGAAAAAGCGAAACATGCAATAAAAAAGTTGACAAATGAAATTAGCCAGACTACTTTCACCTGTTACTTATTCATTCTATTATTGTGATGCATATTTGTAACTGAGTTTTTATACATTCTGCAGTATCCATTTTGATCATTTGGTTAACCTTGACAACTTCGTCTCGTTATCATTAATTCACATTTTATGTATCTTGAAAGTAATATCTCATTTAATATAGTAAAAAATGAATTTGTTTTCTAGCAATAATTTTTCTCATCTCCAATTTTTTTCATATTTAAATACGAAGTATTTTCACATTTAAAATCAATACTTTTCCCAACTGAATGAAAGAAGCATTTGGAAAGATTTTGAAAAAAATGATATTTGGTAGAAACATTATGAAATTGTCACTATCTAGAATCATCGTGAAACTGTCATTTTATCTGGAATGCTCCAGCTTTTTTACGAGTGGTTTTTGAAGCTATAGAAAACCGTAAATAACTTAATAAACAAAAAAAAGAAATGAATATCTTGCATTTTAAATTTAACACAAACAACACAACTACACTCGGAACATTAATAAAACTAATTCTACAAATAACTGTTTTTAATAAATTAGTCAGAAATTTCGTACAGTAAAAAAGATTGAAATTTCATGCATTCTTTTATTCAGCCATTATTTTCACCTTTTCACCTGATCTAAATTATCCGGTTGACTTTGACATGAAACCAAAAAATAATTACCAATTCATTCATTCACATTACTTTGTCATTTGTGAAATCGTTGAATACAGAATTACTCCGTTGATTGTCACCAAGAAAAGCTATATCATATTTGGTAGCTATGCGTGAACTACTTGTGTAAATTAGAATTTCTAGACAGATTATTAGAACGGTAGTGAATTACTTCATTTTGCAACTCAAATTTAAGAAGTTGAAAGTTTACAGTTTACAAAAACGACTACTCACAGGAAACATGCATGAGAAGGATAAAATGTTTTCATTGCGGATCTGGCCACAATAGCGCTTTATATAGGAAACGCAACGGAATGAAGAAACAAAGCAAGCATTTCAAAAATGGTGAAGAATCAAATATAAGCCCAAAGACAGTGGTGGCCCCGGTTGCGGATGACAGTATGTGGAAAACGTATATGATCTATAAAGAAGTAAGGCTAATCAATCCAGATCTGGATTGATTAGCCAGATGAACCAATAAAAACAGCAAAGTTCTTAATTTTCTTCCATACAGGAAGCGATTGTAATTATGTTACGGAATCAATGGTAAGCAAACTGAACTTAAAACAAACATCACCGAGTGTGGGATTAATAACAGGAATGGTAGGCACATGGAAATATGAAAGCCGAAAGATAACTTTCGGAGTTCAAACACTGTTCGGGAATGTGAAGAATATCCAAGCGTACATTGTCGATTCAATATTCGAACGGATACTGTATGTAACAATGAAAGAAAGAAACTAGTTGAAGGTAAATGGAGAAAACCAGACGTATTAGGCGTGGAAGGGATTGCAGATTTAGTCATTCGTAATTCCATAAAACGCCCACCAGGATGGATGATTATGAAAACAGAAATAGGAGTGGTCGAAGGCGGCAAACGGGAAATGACACAATATAGTGAGTGATACAAGAAACAGAAATGACGAGTCTTATAAATTCCAAACAATTGCAAACATAACAAAGAAGGAATCGTAAATCCACATGGACCAGATTGAACAAACGTGGAAATTAGAAGCAATTGAGATTAGAGATTTAATGACGGATTATCAGGATGAAAAAGTTTTTGAAGCTTTTCAAAAATCGCTCACCATGGACAAAGAAGGGAGATGTATAGTGAGCTGGTCATGGAAGAACCAAGAGATAGCGCCAGCAAAAGCAAAAGGATATGGCATGGGGATGTCTACGAACTACAATACGAAGATTGAAGAAGTCTCCAGAATTATTGGAATGTTATGATGAGTATATTAAACCTTACTTGAGGAAAGAATCATAGAATGGGTGAAGAATCAGAATGAAACATCAGAATGAAACGAGTATCTTACCTGCCCCACCAAGCGGTAATAACACCTCAGAAATCCACCACGAAGCTTAGGGGGTAGTATTTGACCCATCAGCAAAGACGAACGAAGGCCCATCACTAAATGAATGTCTGTATAAGAGGCCAGCAATGATGGCATCATTAGTAGGAATTCTATTACGGGCCAGACAAGGACGTTACCTGGTGATGGCCGATGTAGGGAAAGCATTTTTGCAAATGTGCCTAAAACAAGAAGACAGAGATGTCATCAGGTTTTTATAGCTGAAAGATAAGACGAAGAAAGTAACTCAAGAAAACCTAGCTACCTACCGATTCACGCGAGTCCCCTTCGGCGTGGTATCTTCACCTTTTCTGTTGACCGCTGGATGAGATACGATTCTCTTCACTGTTAAGCTGATAAGAACGATGTTATACGTCTTACGATTTCTTGCGAAGGTATCAAAGGAGAAGACAAGAAGTTTGAAAGGGTTCTCCAGAGAGAATTTGGCATCTAATGACTATAACAAAGTAATACAATTGATAGATGGCACTGTTAAACATAATGCAAAAGGAAATCGAACATTGGGGCTTAAGAAAAGATCAGAATGGAATCTGGAGATGTGTTGGAGGACTTGGGCTATGCCTCAAACTGAGGATTTTCCGTATTTCATCAACAGAGGAAAAATAGCAGAAGGATCTCTAAGAAAAGCCATCGATACAAAGTTCCTTGACAACGTAGAATTGATAACTTCAGTTATTGAATTTGAAGCGATTATCAAGAAAGACCCTTGGTAGATCTGGAATAGGTTTAGTGTCAAGAACTGCAGATTTCTTGAATTCAGATTCAGCTCGAGAAAATTTGACAGAAAAAAAGGCTTGTTGCAGGGACAAGACAATATGCGGGGAAGAAAATTTACAAACGAAGGAATTAAAACATCAGTACATGACCACATGCAAGAGACTTGATCATCTATGGAAAATATGGCGAGAAGAAAACTACCTAGAAGAGCTAAGAAAACGAGCTCAACGCAAACACCGAGGACATCGCAGCCGAATTCGACGAAATCGCGAGTAGTAACAAAGGAACAGTAATTCCCTTTGTTGAAAATCAGACATCTTTGTGTTATATGCTTATATCGTCTTACGTTTACGCTAACAAAGAACACTATATCAATGTGCGCTCCATAAGGAAGCTAATTCTTGTAATCATAAAACAAGGACTCTTCCAGTCGAGAAAGCGAAGGATCCTGAGCACCAATCCACTTTTACAAATAAATATGTTTTGTTGAGGTAGGTTGGATATAAGGTATCGGGCGTGATTTAGTCTTTTTTGTTTTTAGTGTTTTCGTCATTAATTTGTTGTATCGATGTCGTAATTGCAAGTTTGTTGTTGTATTAATGAATTTATCATAATAAAGTTTGATTACCCAAGTTTGAGGTCCTGCCAACTAAAGAGGCAGGAAGAACCCTCAGTTTTTGTCACGGTTGAAGAAAATCGGCGACACTGCCGAGTATATAAAACTCAGTTACAAATATGCATTCAAATAATCGAATGAGAATGAAAGAAGCATTTGGAGCGATTTTGAGAAAATGATGTTCAGTAAAAGCATCATGAACTTGTCACAGCATCATAAATTTCCTCGATGACGGAGCTGCTTCACGAATAGGTATTCAAAGTTACGCAGCATATATATTTGAAAACCTGATGTAATAGTGGTAATACAAATTAGCTTTAGCATATTACTAAAAATTACTTTTTGTCAATCTACTAATTAATAGCCAATGCGAATATACCGGTTGAATTTTCTTCCATTAATTTTTTTTTGTGAAATATACACAATTCAAGTGAGGAAAATTAAAATTTTTGCTCCTTACTTTCTGACTAATATTTCAACGGATATTTGCTAGAAGTTACGTTGAGAAGATCCAAATGTCATTTCACTGTGTTACTTCGATGATCAGAGAATGATTAATGGATACTAACATGATTTATTAGGACCTGATTAAAATTGATCGTTGGGATTATTGGATACAGTAAAATTGTTTAAAGTTATGCCGAAGAGTAACTTTTACTTCCCGAAATGTTTGCGAAAGCATCCTATTCTAAATCTTTTATTTTTAATAAGATTTAGAACAAGATTCTTTGCAGATCATCCCTTCTCATATACGTCTTTTAATTCTTCTATGTTCATCAAAAAAAGCAAAATGATGGATAAAATGAATGAAATTGTGATCTTTTCAATTTAATTTCTGGCAAATATCCGTTAAAATATTAATCAGATAATTGGCAGTAAAAAAAATAAAGTACATATTTCACGAAAAAAATTGGCGAAAGAAAATTCAGATATCATTTATAATTTGATAGGATTTTGGAAATTATTTCTATTTACTTCCTTCAAAGATTACAATTCAATGTATTCAGCAAATGAACTTACCTCGATCAGTAACTTTATCACATCCTTTAGTACCATCTAGTTTATTGCAATTATGTTAAGTGATCTCAGATGTAAAACAATGACCAAAGGTTGGTTTTGGAAGTCTATGAAGGTATGGAAAGTAATAAATATGGCATTATTTTTTTTTCTCTTTATCAAGCTGAAACAGTCCCGGTATTTTGTTCTTGCGTTTTTGGAAAATAATGTCGCGATAGTTTCCTAAATAAACGTGAAATTCAAACAAACAAAAGGAATGTCCAATTAAAGTTTCAAGAAAGCTATAAAATATACAGACCATAAGTTTGACTCCATATCAAGGAAAATTATATCATATCGTTTCTTTAAATTATATTTTCTACTTTTTTAATTACATTTTTTAAAACTAAAATTATTTTTTTTTGGATGTAAAAAACAAAAAATCGTACCAAACGTTAAAGACTCGCTCAAGTTTTGGTTAATACAATTTTACCTACTAATTAATCATCGAAAATATAAGTGGGATTTGAACTTACCCTTGATCTGAAAATGTGAAAAAATCTGGCTGTTGCTCATAAATTTGTTATCGCTGAACATAATGATACATTAAAAACTCAGTTTAATTAATTAGTCCTTATTTGTCAGCTGTACTCGCAAGCCACCATCATTATTAGATTATTGAATGATCGTATTATAGCACATAATGCCGGTATGTAAAAGTAATTTTAGAAAGTCCAATTTTATATCAAATGTTCTATTGCTTTTTAATCAAATATAATGAATAAATTGATTTATTAGGAAGATGTTATTTTCATTAAAAAAATATAGACATGCAGAATAAAAAGGTTGCCAATTAAAACTTCTCCTAACAAAAATTCTCAATATTTTTAAAACAGGAAAAGATCTTGGTTAAAGTAGTTATAATAGTTTTTATGTTAGGTGAGGTAGCAAGAATTGTTTGGGAAGAAATGGTTGGTATAGGGACTTGGCACAATAACCATCCTCATTTGAGAATTTAATGTTTATTTTACATCCAATGAAATTTTTCACGAAAGCTTGGGCAACATCGGTATGAAAAAATGCGCCATGCATATCTAGCCAATCTTTGAAATCAGTTAAATAATACTTATTTCATTGTTCATTACTATAACAGGGATGAGAAAAGTATCTGAATTGATTGTATTTTCCAAGTTCTTTAAATCAATTAATCCATTAGTCTTTACTGAGAGAACTCAACTGTTTATGATAACGACAAATATCTAGAATACATTTATGCTCTTATATGTTACTTCTCATTCTTATAAAAATGTGCAACTCCTTTCAAAGCTATATTATTTGACTCAATTACTCCAGAAGTAAATATAATATCTTTGCTATTCGCATTATTGAGCTCAGTATTTTACTTTCTTTCATTTTTGTTTTCTTCTCTTACTTCCCAATCAAAAGAATTGGCTTACCAAACTTTTCTGTAAAAATATGATAACATCTTCTCTAAAATCCTTTTATTAACCAGGGTTGTAGCTTGGTAATCCATATAAATTTGTAATTTTTGTAATAATTGAATTGCGTTCTTTTTTAATTTATTTAACCTAAGATATGGTCTTTCCATACTTAGACAAACTTTTTAACTTCTTCATGAGTGTTATTTATCTCTAAGGCAACTCTAATAACAGTTTTGGTTTATTCCAATGGATAACCGATTGCATGTGGACATGCGGCGGTTTAGAAGTGCCTAGAGAACATGCACTACCATTACTTATAGCAATGCCATTCATATCAAAATGTATAATTTGCGCTTCAACTTCAGTGAATGGTGCTGTGATTAAGGATATGCAGTTTAATTAACAATTTAAATTTTAAGTAATAATGCAAATTTAAGTTATTACTAGGATACATTTATGTTCTGTTACTAGAATACAATATATTGCGAATGCAATGAAAGATTGAAAGAAAAAAGCAAATTGAGAATTTCAATGCTCATCAGTGTTAGATATCAAGCATCATCTATTGATATTATGAGATCTGCTATTCAAAACTGATTCAGTTTTGATAAATTACATAAATTTATCTTTACCATAATGAAAGCAACAAAATATAGCGTGCTTCAAGAGGCTTTAAATGACGAAAAATTAATATTAAAATTATGTTATTCCATTCTTTGGGTAATCTTCACAATGTAAAGGAAAGTAATTGCTGATATAAAAGATCTCTGCGATATCACTTGAATGACACATTTTGTTATTAAATGAACAACTCTATTATCATATTCATTTAGAAGAGCATAAAAAAAGCAAATCAAAATGCATGCTTATAAAGTTCTTGTACTCTTTTTTTCCTTTACCGATAATTTTAGATTTGTAAAATTTGTGAAAAAAATACAAATTTATTTCATTTTAAATTCCTTATTCAACTTTGGTTTTTCTTTAATTCAATCTTTTTTTTTCACTGAAACAAAATAGTTACGCAAATTTAATGAATAACAAATAAAATTATAAATCTAATTTCATCATTAAATTCATGCGTATCATTAAATATTAATATATTTTCCATATTAATTACAATTCTTCAATTTGAGCTAAAAGTATTTGGTAACATTAACATTTCAAATATCGAAACTTTCAACAAGTTTAGGATCATTTGGCATAAAAACTAAATTGAGACGAAATAGAAACATTTCCGGAAAAGATTATTGATGAACAAAATGGTAGCTCATTCATACTGTATTATTGCAATATTTCTAATATCAGCTTTAAACTGCTGTGGAGAAAATATGACGAATTTCAATGATATAAGAGATGAACAGTACATAACTACAAAATATACAGTAGTTATATTGTTTTCTCTTTTTTTATTATTCGGTATTATTAGTAATGTACTGATGGCTATAGTATGCTGTAATCGAGAGAGTTTTTATAATCGTACATTCATTCTTATTACATTCCAACTTATTATTGGTAATTTGATAAGCTTTACTCCACAAATAGCTGTTCTTTTGCCGGAAATATTATTTATTAAAAAGAGTTCATATGGTAGGTTAATTTATTTATATAATTATTTAAAAATAAAGTATGAAAGAAAAGTCGGTTTATTATTGAGAATGGAAGTAGTGCATCGAATTTCTAATGGCATTTTGAAATTCATTACTAACATATTGCTGCAAACAAACATTCTATTGATCTAATATCAAGTATTTATCTCATAATCAATCGTCGTTTAAGTATTACATAAAATCATTGATATTTCATTTATAACCAATGACCGTCTGAATATTACATTATAGACAACCATAATATTTTCTGATCACTTTAATTCAAAAATTTTAAAATTTGTTTTAAGAAACTGTTTTGTTTTATATCATAGATTACAAAACGTGGATAAATTACACGTTCTCGTCGATCAATACGTTTTCATTTTACGCCGTGCTACATTTTGGATTGTTATGGACGCTGAATCGTTTCTTGTCCATAATTTTACCGCAAAGCAATGCATTTTTCGAATCAAAAAAGCTGTATTTTTTATTGCTTTTCGTATGGTTGACAGTCTTTGGTATGACAATACTAACTTTATACAATGTTCAAAATAATTTTCAAAAGCAAGAGAAGGGGTGGAGGTTTTGTGGCTGTTAAATCATGTCATGCAATAACCTTAACAATTATAACTTTTATCATCATTTTGATAATTTTAGGAACAATCTTTTGATTTAACAGTTTCCTTCTCTTCAGTACTATGATTAAAAATACAATTCCAGAATTATGACTTGTCTATTTATATTAAGTTTGCATTTTTCAGCAATTTCATTTGCCGATTTTTATTACTGTACCCGAAGTTTTGAAGTTTCGATCTTACTATGGACAGTTGACTGTACAAAACAGTCAATTGATGATGGAAAATTTTTTTTATTGTTAGATTTAGTATTACTTTTATTTCTCAGAATAGTTCTGATAAATTTCAAAATTCAAATTTTTTTCTTTTCTGTTCATTTGGCTAGACATTAAAGTTCATACTGTTTCAAACAAAAAATATGATAAAGGCATCTGTCACTCTCTTTCGTCATGAACATAACAAGAAATTGTGATTATCATTCCTATTTAATAAAGAAATGTATATGATTAATTGGAATTCATTAATTGCTTCTTATCAGTTTTCAGATTTCGCCAAATTTGGGGAATATTTCTATCCATTGCAATGCTCGTCATCTACTTGACAATTTTTTACAAAATACGCCATCGCTTTACTTCAGTTATCAACGAATCACGAAGTTGGTGTCAACAAACCGCTTTCCTTCTTTTTTTTTTTACATAACGAAGATGAACCATAAAGTTCTACAATTCCAAGTCATATTGAAAACAAGATTTGGGTATTTTATGTTCGTCTAAAAGTTCTTAAATGGTTATTTTATTGCTTGTGTTAAATTAAATGTGAAATTTCAGGAACTTTAAGGAAGAGTGAAAAAGATGGAACAAATACGTTTGGAACTGCCAGATACGAACGATTAGTGCTAATTCAAGCAGCATTGACTTGTAGCGCATTCATAATTGGGATCATATTAATAAATTTTCTCCCAAAGATTTTGATAAAAATTTTTGGTCAAGAAATTATCATTCCATTGAACATTTTCGTCAACTCGTATCTCATTTTAGCTCGTGCTGTATTGCCAATAGCCCTTTTCATAACTAACAAACATGCTCGTAAATGTTTGTGCTTACTTCTGAGGATTAATATAAGAACTATCGAATAAAAAAACTGTCCATAAGGGTTCTGAATTAGCTTCGTTTTATTTGTTTCTTCATATATCTTGGATGCCTATGATAACACGAAGATGAATACATTGTTTTTTGACACTTATAGAATCAGTTCCATTTGTTAGTTATATATATATATATATATATATATATATATATATATATATATATATATATATATATATATATATATATATACTATATATATATAATAATA